CACATGTGATCTTTGACCTTTCGGTTGTGACATGTGAACTCTTAGTTATGGCATACGGGATCTAGTTCCCTAATCAGGGATCAAGCCTGGGCCCCCTGCATTGGGAGTGTGGTGTCTTAGCCACTGGACCACCAGGGAAGTCCTCACAGTATCATTGGTTTTCTTAAGGAATCCATGGATTGAAAAGGAAATCCAGAACCACAACTCAAGACACACCTTAGACCTCGTGGACCATAAAGTTTACAAGCACCTTTTTAATCAAAGTCATCAATGTCAGAATCTAAGGGGTAGATTTCCTGAGTCCTCATAGATCTTTACATTACAAAAGTATTGTCACAATACCAGGAACCAGTATTTATTTAAAAAAAAAATCTCAAGTACAAAGTTTGTGAAATAATACAATTTCCATTTTCTATTATATAAGTATACTACCACTGTCAAAGTTTCTTCGATAATTATCCCCTCCCCTTCTCCTCACTCATTCTTCCCTCCCCCCTCAATTCTGCTTTTCCATTTATAGTTTTAGATCCTGACATAATGTCACCACTTTGGGTAGCTGGTGTTTCAGTGAACCTGGGACCACCCTTAAGGTTCAGGCAGATAATCCCTGGGCACTGCTTGCAGACTTGTGGAGGCTCCTGCCAGGCATTTCCTCCTAGTAAAATGGCCCGAGTGTTCCATCCATGTGTCAGAGCACATGACTTGTGTAAGGCCTCTACTAAGCTCCCAAAACTAAAAAGATGAAAAATTCACATCAGAGGTTGTTAACTTCCCAGATTATTGAGAGCTGTTTTCATGTTCTAGACAGTTTTGCAATTTCTCTCCCCTTCATTCACAACTCTTCCCATTTTTTTGTAACCGGTATGAACTGCTCCCTATTGTAAGTACAGTCAGTTCTCTTTTGTTATTAGTCATACTTTAAAATTATGGTTAAGAATTTTATTATCAAATTTATTACATCTCTTGTGGAAGTTCAAGTGTTACAACTAGATGTCAGTCAAACTCCTATTCAGCTTTTTAGCAAAATGGCCAGCATCTACTTGAAGCCTCAGTTCAGTTCAATGCAGTCGCTCAGTCATGTCCAACTCTTTGCGACCACATGACAGCACGCCAGGTCTCCCTGTCCATCACCAACTCCCACAGCTTACTCAAACTCATGTCCATTGAGCCGGTGATGCCATCCAACCATCTCATCCTCTGTCGTCCCCTTCTCCTCCCATCTTCAATCTTTCCCAGCATCAGGGTCTTTTCAAATAAGTCAGTTCTTCGAACTCTCCTCTTTCACTTTCATCAAGAGGCTCTTTAGTTCTTCTTCACTTTCTGCCATAAGGGTGGTGTCCTCTGCATATCTGAGGTCATGGATATTTCTTCCAACAATCTTGATTCCAGCTTGTGCTTCCTGCAGCCCAACATTTCTCATGATGTGCTCTGCATATAAGTTAAATAAGCAGGGTGAAAACATACTTAAGACCTTAAGCCTTAAGCTCCTATTAAAAGGCCCAGGAACATAACTCCTGAATCTGACTTGGGATTAGAGTGGGCAGTAGGATATAAATTTACCTGCTTAGCTCACTGCAACTGAGCTATCCTGTACTGTCCAGTAGTCTTGCTCTGTCTGCTACTATGAGGCCCATATCTTTGCACATTTCTCTGAGGAAGAAATTCCAAATGGTCTTTTCAATTCTTGTAAAGCCACAGACTACCTAGGCAATATTGATATCCCTGAGACTTGAGGGATAAGACCCAAATATGTAGATAAATAGATGGATTGATCAGAGTTTTGGTTGTTAACTCTCAACTTTTACATTTCTAATTCTTGATACCAACTAAATTCTAAACCTGTTCTTTCCCTTTGTTTTATTTCATGTATTTTAGATCTTTTCATGATTTTATTTCAAACTCCTCTATTCCAAATCATCAGACATTTTTTTCCCTGTCAACCTGTATCAGTCATCCATCTTTGGGGGCCCATTTTCCACTAACTCCTGGATGTCCACTTTCCTGCTATCTGATTGTCAAATTCTGAAGCATATATCCAGAACACCACTTTATTTGAACTCCTTAATAGGTTATTTCATAGTCTGCAGAGTTAATATTGCCCTAATAAAGCTGAAAACAGTTGTTCAATATTTCCCTAAGAGGCAAAGCACCAATTAGAAAAGCTGGACTTATGAAAATGTGTTAGTATGTCCATTTGAACTTATCAATAATTTCCATCTAATGACTTTAAGAGCATGGACAGAACATAGCAGAAAGGGCACAAACATCAGAAGATATCAACTAAGTTTTATATTCTGGCTAAGTTTGAATTCCACCTCTGTTGCTTACTGACTCTCTGAAGTTGGGTAGTTTTCTTACTTATCAAATGGAAACTAGATAACAAATACCTGAAGAAGTGTATATAAGTTAAATAAAATTCCATATGCAAAATACCTAAAATGGTTCCTAGGCAAAAGGATTTATTAATGTTATAATTAATCTCAGAAATTTCCTATAGATTTATTGTTTCCATTTCTTCTTCATTTGCTTTATTATAATTCAATATCCATTCTTTTTTTCCATCACATCAGTCTAGATTTTTGCTTTTGAGAATTCCAATATTATTAATTATATTTTGGCACAATTTTTGAAGTTTACATGAAGATTTTAGAGCCAATCCTATTACAGTAAGGCCAGTCTACCTGTTTTTTGCCTCCCTGAAAAACTAAGATGCTTTTCCTTAGTATTATTTTGTATGCATGCAAATATATTCCTTGTAGTATTTGAAAGTGACCATAGATTTTGCAAAGCAAAATATCCCGTTGCTAAATACTAGTGTAACATAGGAATACTTTAGTGTGTGTTCCCTCAAGCTTAAAGAACAAGACACTTATAGTTTAGTTTCTCATTTAGCCTGTCAGATTATCTCTAACAATTTTCCAAAAGTAATTTGAAAAAACAACCCATCCAATTCTTCTCCATCTCCCAGTTCTCCTTTCCTCTGGTTTGACTGAGCTCTCAGGCACACCCTCTGGGGTGGTGGTGAGATGGCTGTCATAGTTCCCGAGGACCCCTTGGAGTTACAAGTCCAGGCAATCATACCGTTTTCTGAACATCTCAAGTTAATATAACCAGGGAAGGGGGAGTAGATGCCCAGCAAGAAGTAGAGCAGGGGGTCGCCCCCGTGGCCCCATCAGAAAGCCTCCTAATCCTGTGTAAAGACAAACCTGTAGCCACGGAGTTCAGGGTAGGTTGGGTTCTAGTCTACCCAGTTCAGCATTCCCCAAACCATGTCTATGATTTCTCACCTTCAGGCCTTAGAGCACTCATGTGGTGGAGTCTCCCACTTGTCAAAACATTTTCCGTGAAAAGATGTCACAAATGACTAATAAATAATTTTTCTTCTCTTTGGGCTTCCCTGGTAGCTCAGTCGGTAAAGAATCTGCTTGCAGTGCAAGAGACCCAAGTTCGATCCCTGAGTTAAAAAGATACCCTGGAGAAGGAAATGGCTACTTACTGCAGTATTCTTTCCTTGGAAATCCCATGGGCAGAGGAGCCTGGCAGGCTATAGTCCATGGGGTTGCAAGAATCAGACTCGACTTAGTGACTAAACCACCAATGGTTTATCAATATCCATTCACAGTGGCTTACTCTCTTTGTGTAAAGCTTTCAAGTCACTTATGATTCTATCAAACCATATTATTTATAAATTAAAATAACAAGCTGCATTTCCATCTGTCTCATTCACTGGGATTTTTAATATTTGTTTTATGAAAGAAGAGGTAGGTAATAATACCTTATTAGACAAATGGTCCTGGGACATTGGTAAATGATTTAAGAACAATAATAAACCCATAAAAATAGATCCTGATTTCACATCTAATTCCAAAATAAATTACTAATAATTTTTAAAAGTTAAATGTAAAAAAATGAATCCAATGAGAAATAGGAGAAAATATAAGGTTAATAATTATGTGTTCTCAGGGAAGGGCTTCCTAAATGTAACTCTAGTGACAAATTATCCATGAAAAAATTTGCTAATTGAATTCAAGAAAAAGTATCTAGCCTTAAATATCAGAAAACTTTAACTTTACGACAAAAAGACAAAAATATTTCTAACATATAAATGTAATCAGAAATTTTCATTTATCAGATTTATAAGGGAACTAATTATTCCTACCTCAACCCCCCAAAAAATGTCTGGCAATAGAAAACATGAGCTAATCCTGTGAGATTTTTTCCTGTCAAGGAATGTCGCAAGTCAGAGGTGTAGGGACTGGACAATTTTTAAAACTCCAAGAGGACTATAATAGTGAGGAGAGAGTGAAGTGAAGTGAAGTTGCTCAGTCGTATCTGACTCTGCAACATCATGGACTGCAGCCAGGCTCCTGAGAGAGTAGTATTTCTAATAAGAGAGGCAAAAATATCTAAAAGGAATTAGGAAACTTTTTGTATAATAGCAGTAGAAAAGTGGTTGCCAGGGGCTGAGTTTTGGGGGGAAAGGAGAGGTGTTTGGTCAAAGGGTAGAAACTTTCATTTATAAGATGTATAAAGTCTGAGGATCTAAAACAGAACATGATGACTACAGTTGATAACACTATATTGTATAATTGAAATTTGTTAAAAGAGTAGAACTTAAGTATTCTTGCCACTCTTCCCAAAAAGACAAATATGTGAAGTGACAGATATATTAATTAACTTGGTGGGAAGAAACCTTTCACATATGTGAAACCTTTGATATATGTGCATCAAATCATCACATTATACAGTTTAAATATCTTAAAATTTTGTCAATTATACATCAGTAAACTGGGTGGTGGGGGGTAGGGAGAAATGGAACATTTAAAAATCTGTGTCCCATGATACTGAGAGTATTGAATTCTTTGAAGCATTAATTCAACCTACAATGCATTTCCTTCATTATTATGTTTAAAATCCTCATTTCTGTATACTTGGAATGGTCAGTTCTTGCATGATGAAGATTTGTCTTAATTCACGGTGTTTTTTGTTTTGCTTCTTAGGTACCAACAAAGGACCAATGGCTTTCTCAACAACTGCCCTACCACCACCTCCACCGTCCCATCCAGCCAGCCAACCACCATTGCCAGCGTCTCACCCAACACAATTGCCAGCCCCAAGTCTACCTCCCAGAAACATTAAACCTCCCTTAGACCTCAAGTAAGCAAAAGATTCTTTTACCATTACTTTGTCAATCTCTTATCAGAAATTTTCAAACTATGCTTGGCTGAGTGCTGAGGGTTCCATGTGACTCTGGGGGAAACACAAAAGTGGTCAGTTAGCAGGGAGAAGAGATGGCTTAGCAAGCTGCTCTCACACTTCCATATCCTTTAGCAATTCTTATTTATCTGTTTTGGCAACGTTTTTTCCTTAAGAATTCATTTGAGGAAAATTTCTAGAGCCTTTTTAGAAGTTCTGAAACATTCTTCAGATCAACACAACCACCGTCTCGTTAACCTTCATCATCATTTCTACCACCACTACCATTAGCATCACTGCATCACCACCATCATTACCAATACCACCACCACTATCATCACCACCACTACCATCACCACCACCATATTTTATTGGCTGCCTGTAATGTGCACTTTACATATATAATCCTTATGACTTCATTGAGTGGATAGTGTTTTCGTCATTTCACAGATAAGTAAATGGAACTTTACAAAGGCTAAGTAACTCTCAATAGAAGACTGTCAGTAGCAGTCTGAGTCCACTGTATACTTTTAACCACTCTGCTAAATAACCTCCTGTAAGTAAAAAAAAAAAAAAAATGGAGGTTTTTTATGAGTAATCAGATTTCTGACTATGTATTAAAAAAATAGGAAACTTATTCAAGCCCACTCTCACTTTTCTTAGATGGTACTTTTTAGAAATGTCAGAATTGTGTAGGTTGTTATGCACAGGCTCTTTATCAGTGATTTACCAGAAGAACTGTTTGAGAAAAAAGCAAGCAGAGGACTCGGATAGAATGAAATATTGTTTTAAAGAGAAATAGACATGGCAAGCATAGACTCCATTTGCAAGTCAGAGTAGATCTTCTATTTCTTCTTCTAAAAAATTGTTTTGCACGATTATCCTTTACCACAAATATGCCAAAAATATTTAGCTACAGTTGTTTTTCCTTTACTTCAATCCCCTACCAGATTGAAGTTCATTACATCTAAAGTACTTAATATCCATAATCCTTATGATAGATTCAATTAATATCATGTCTGATTGACAGCTTTCCTTCAATGCTGATAATTACAATTTAGAGCAGGAGTTGAAAACACACTTGTCATGGGTAGCCAGTGCTACGTTTCACTTTATTAGGCTTTGACAGGGGGTGAGGGGGCACTATTGGTTAAAAGCAGAACTCCAACTGACTAGGAGATATTAGAGCAGTTTACTATCTTGCATAAAACCTGCATTTTACATTTATGTTAACCACATGCCCTTCCATGCATTTGAGTTTATGAACCCTAGTTTATGACAACCAGCTACCAAAGGAGAATATGAGCCATTTGCCTACTAACGTATGAGTGTCAAATAAATATTAACTTAATTAAAATAACTAATATGTGCTCTTATATAAACTTGATTTCTGTATAAATAAGTTTCTTTTCACATGTATTAAATCCTGTGTCTTTATCCTACTCTGAAGAATTTAATCCATTAGATTTTGATCTCAGTACTTTTGAGGCTTATTATATGACCCTATCCCAGCAGCTGGCTTTAATTAGGCTTCTGGATCCTGTGTAATTCTAGTGAGAAATTTCAGTAAATACCTTGAAAATGAATTCCTGATAATTTATAAGGCAAAAAGATTGGTAATTCTTTGACTGAAGAAATCATGGAGGAGGGTTTATCACTATTTCTGTTGTTTGAGAGTCCCCAACACCAGTCCTAGGTTTGGTGATCAACTGCAAGGACACACAAGACTTAGCGTACAGGAGTACTCGTGGCTAAGATTTATCCTAGTCATACTCTTCTTCTAAACTTGGCAGTGGACAGAGTAAAACTGCTTCTTTCTCTAGCTACAAAAATGCAATACATGTGTGGTATTGCTTCCCAGGGAAGCCTATTAGAGTCATCTTTCTATTGAAAGCTGCCACCTAGGCACCTTCTGCCTGAAAGTGAGGTCTCTCAGTCGTGTCCAACTCTTTGCGACCCTGTGGACTGTAGCCCACCAGGCTCCTCCATCCATGGGATTCTCCAGACAAGAACACTGGAGTGGGGTGCCGTTTCCTTCTCCAGGGAATCTTTCCGACCCAGGGATCAGACCTAGGTCTCCCACGTTGCAGGCAGATGCAGGCAGACGCTTTAATCTCTGAGCCAGCCTAGCAACTACCAAAATACCAGACTTCTAGAAGTAAAGCAGGTGTTCACCATAAGTCGTGTTGTTTATACAGTCTAGGCACAGCAAAGCACTCTTATCATTAGGCAACTTTTCCTATCAGTTCAAGGAATGCTTTAGAAGCTGAGTTCCCAGATATAAGCCAACAGACTATCTTGGCAGAAGATACTTTTTAAAATAGCAGCTTCAGGCCTGCTATGTTAACTCTTTTCTGTAAACCTGCCCCCTAGAATCCACCATGATAAGGTGAGGAATACAAAGCTGTAGAAGTAAGAGAATTTCAAAGAGACCAGTAGCCTGGACTACTGTGTCCTACCGATGCTGGTCAATTTCCCACATTTGTAGGAAATTCTTACAAAGTCGAAAAGAGTCCACCAACCAACCAAGTTCAAATTTTTGCTCGTAACATTGCTTACATCAGAAATTAGCAAAATCCATCAGTTGTAATCGACTTAACTTCATCCTTATTTCCATTTTATTAAGGACTCCTAATTCAAAAGTCTGATTCATTTAAGAGTTACCAACTCCTCAAAATGTATACTCTCAGAAGAAAAAAAGATGCTGAGAAACAAGAATTTAGATGTTACATTGGCTAGATTCGCTGAAACTGTCACATCTAAAAGTTAAATGTCAGACGAAGATGAAAGCTAAGGTATATCTGTAAGATGATTATTTTTTCAAAAGTAAAAATGTGGTATATGGTGTAAGACTTTCAGGCTCCCATCAGAGAGCCCAAGTAAAATCCAAAATGAAGAAATATCTAAGTTGGAAACTTTCCCCCCAAGTAGGGGAAGCTAGAAAAGACACAAAGAGGAAATGAAAGTAAAATGGGTCTTGATAGTCAGGCTCACATTTTATATTTCATGTGAGAGGGAAATTTATGGAATGATCTTTAAGTAAAATTGTGAAAGGTGGGTGTCTCTGTGCTTTTTCTTTGCACCACCACCCTTCTAGTAAATGTATTAAATCCTGTGTCTTTATCCTACTCTGAAGAATTTAATCCATTAGATTTTGATCTCAGTACTTTTGAGGCTTATTATATGACCCTATCCCAGCAGCTGGCTTTAATTAGGCTTCTGGATCCTGTGTAATTCTAGTGAGAATTTCAGTAAATACCTTGAGTATGAATTTCTGATAATTTATAAGGCAAAAAGATTGGTAATTCTTTGACTGACGAAGTCATGGAGGAGGGTTTATCACTATTCCTGTTGTTTGAGAGTCCCCAACACCAGTCCTAGGTTTGGTGATCAACTGCAAGGACACACAAGACTTAGCGTACAGGAGTACTCATGGCTAAGATTTATCCTAGTCATACTCTTCTTCTAAACTTGGCAGTGGACAGAGTAAAACTGCTTCTTTCTCTAGCTACAAAAATGCAATACATGTGTGGTATTGCTTCCCAGGGAAGCCTATTAGAGTCATCTTTCTATTGAAAGCTGCCACCTAGGCACCTTCTGCCTGAAAGTGAGGTCTCTCAGTCGTGTCCAACTCTTTGCGACCCTGTGGACTGTAGCCCACCAGGCTCCTCCATCCATGGGATTCTCCAGACAAGAACACTGGAGTGGGGTGCCGTTTCCTTCTCCAGGGAATCTTTCCGACCCAGGGATCAGACCTAGGTCTCCCACGTTGCAGGCAGATGCAGGCAGACGCTTTAATCTCTGAGCCAGCCTAGCAACTACCAAAATACCAGACTTCTAGAAGTAAAGCAGGTGTTCACCATAAGTCGTGTTGTTTATACAGTCTAGGCACAGCAAAGCACTCTTATCATTAGGCAACTTTTCCTATCAGTTCAAGGAATGCTTTAGAAGCTGAGTTCCCAGATATAAGCCAACAGACTATCTTGGCAGAAGATACTTTTTAAAATAGCAGCTTCAGGCCTGCTATGTTAACTCTTTTCTGTAAACCTGCCCCCTAGAATCCACCATGATAAGGTGAGGAATACAAAGCTGTAGAAGTAAGAGAATTTCAAAGAGACCAGTAGCCTGGACTACTGTGTCCTACCGATGCTGGTCAATTTCCCACATTTGTAGGAAATTCTTACAAAGTCGAAAAGAGTCCACCAACCAACCAAGTTCAAATTTTTGCTCGTAACATTGCTTACATCAGAAATTAGCAAAATCCATCAGTTGTAATCGACTTAACTTCATCCTTATTTCCATTTTATTAAGGACTCCTAATTCAAAAGTCTGATTCATTTAAGAGTTACCAACTCCTCAAAATGTATACTCTCAGAAGAAAAAAAGATGCTGAGAAACAAGAATTTAGATGTTACATTGGCTAGATTCGCTGAAACTGTCACATCTAAAAGTTAAATGTCAGACGAAGATGAAAGCTAAGGTATATCTGTAAGATGATTATTTTTTCAAAAGTAAAAATGTGGTATATGGTGTAAGACTTTCAGGCTCCCATCAGAGAGCCCAAGTAAAATCCAAAATGAAGAAATATCTAAGTTGGAAACTTTCCCCCCAAGTAGGGGAAGCTAGAAAAGACACAAAGAGGAAATGAAAGTAAAATGGGTCTTGATAGTCAGGCTCACATTTTATATTTCATGTGAGAGGGAAATTTATGGAATGATCTTTAAGTAAAATTGTGAAAGGTGGGTGTCTCTGTGCTTTTTCTTTGCACCACCACCCTTCTAGTAGTTATTTTATGAGGCACCACGTTGTGCCTTTGTAATAGAAGTTCAGGAAATATCAGTGAACAAAATAAAGACCCCTACTCACACAAAGCAGGGGGCAAGAGACAAAAGGGAAAAAATAATAAACTAGTAAAGAGTATAGAATGTTAGGAAATATCAAGTGATATGGGATGAAGTAGA